TTGCTGCACAACTGGAGGAACCACAGGCATTATTGCTGTTACATTAGGGCTGAGAAACTTTGGGGCTTCCTCCCTGCAGGAAACATTTGTTCATTTATCCTTACACTTCTTGGAGGGAAAAGGAAGTCCCTTGCCCCACTTTCTATGATCTTGCTTGGCATCCACGAGCTTCACAGCAGAGTGGTCCTTTCTCGCATCCCGGAGGGTGGGGTAAAGGTCCCGTTTGCGGGCTTGTCTGCCCTGAGGAGGAGAGGCCTCCTCCCCAGATCCTCGCCCTTGCCCTTGTGTCCTTAGAGTGGGTGTCCGGGGAGCGCAGGATGTCTTTGGTGTTGGCAGCGGGGTGTGGCAGGAAGGGGCAACTTCATCACACACCCCTCTGCCCTGGGAAGCGACCTGTCCATCCTGGGGAGGGGCACCTGTCCATCTGGGTGTCGTCCTGGCCCTGGACACTTGGCTGGCATCTTGGAGGCTAATGTCCAGGAATGGAGGGGAGAGCTGCTCTGGCGGGAAGAACCCTCCTCCCCCTAACCCTAACCCGGGTTGTTCTCTGGGGGATGAGTGTGTTTTTTTTTTTTACCAGTCTGGGGCTTCTGTGGAAATGGATACTCCCCCCCCCCCGCCGCCACCCAGCCGTGTCCTTTTGTTACCCTGTGTTCACTTGGGGACAGGGGCAGGTGCTGGGCCGTTCCTTCCTAAGAGGGGCACTGAGGAGAACCCTGGAGTCCTGGCGGCCTGCTCCCCTTCTGTCCTCACTGTCCCCTGCCTGGGTTCAGGCTCCTCTGGTGGGGGAGGGGCTCAGTGCGCTGTGGGAGCTGTGAGGGGGGCGGTGCACTTCGGGGCGTGTTCACACCCAGCCTTGCCCGCCGGTACCTGGGTGGGAGAGCGCGCTGGCTCTCCGCCTGGGGGTTATTGTTACCAGGCTCCGGTTTCTTCCCCGCTCCCTCAGGGCTCCACTCTTCCCCAGAGCTTCGCCCACCCTCCAGAACCTGCGGTCTCCCTGTCGCCAGCCAGGGAGGAGGGTTGGGGCGGGTCTCCTGGGGCCTGGCAGATTGGAGAGGGTTGAGGGCAGCCCCCAGCCCCTTAGCTGTAGGAGGAGAGACGGAGAGACACCCCACCACTGCCCCTCCCAGAGCCACCTTAACCCCAGTCTTTGCTTTTGTCCTGTCCCCTGACCTTTGCCTCCCAGGGGGGCGGGTAGGCTGGGAGGCTGCAGACAGTGGGAGGGACCGAGGTGTGAGCTTAGGTTGACTTTGGCAGAAACGGAGGGGTGAGGGCTGTGACACCAGGACCTTCTATCCCCCCCTCCCCACCCCCTGCAGTGGATAATTGGGACAGGGCTTCCCTGGCCACCCCCTCCACCACCGTGGCTGCCTTTTCCAGACGGGGGTGAAGCAGGGATGGGAGACCTTGAGCTGCAGCCGTGTCTCCTCCTTTGCCCATGAGGGCAGCTCGGCTCTTTCTGGCCCCAAGGGGAAGGGGGAGGAGCGTGGAGTCCCACAGGCCTCTGAGTCCCCGGGTTTGGTGAGGCCGGCTGGTGAGGCCGGCCGTGGGGAAGTGGAGGCGGTCCCCCACACACTGTCTGGGCCCATAGTCTGTGTAGGTGTCTGTGTGTTTTTGGGTGGGGTGCAGTGGGCTCAGCCCCCAAGGCTGTGAGCCCCCCCCGGGGGGGGCAGTTCCTGAGGCACTGGAAGACTTGGAGGCCAGAGAGGGGACTAGACCTCGTCTAGAGCATTCAGGGTTGCTGGCGCCTTGGCGTGTGTGCAGGTCCTCTGGTGACAGGCCGCTGCAGCCCCTCACAGAGTTCTCCACTCCTGCCTCCCTCTCCCGAGGTGGAAAGAGACAGCGGGCTGGGTTTGGGAAGAGACCTCCTCGGTCCTACACAGCCCTGGGGACGTTGTCATCCTCCCCGGAGCTCCCATTTGGGGGCACCAGAGGACAAGGGGTACACAGGATGTGGTTCCCCATCTGTCCCCAACCAATCTCCGCTGCGCACGCTTCTGCCCCGCTCCCAGACGTCCAAGAATGTGAAGCACGTGGCCCCCCGTACTGGGGGGAGGAGGAAAGATGCTTATCGGCGGCCACTGGGCCAGGGGCCTTCTTCCGCTGCTGCCGAGCTGCACCCGAGCGGCACCCGAGCCACCCCCTCCCACCCCTGGGAGGCAGGGCAGTGCTGAGGGCCCTGCGCCCCCTTCCCGTCCCTCCCCGGGGGCTGCAAGGGGAGCTGCAGAGGAGCGGGCGCCAGCTGGATCGGGAGGGGAGCCGCTGGCCGGGGGCCCGGCTGATTTCCTGCTGATCTCCTCCAGGAAACCGGCCCCTTGTGCGCGCCCGCGAACGGCTCTGGGGCGTGGGGAATCCAGCGCGCTCTACGCCTCCTGCCCGACCGGAGGGGAGTGGGGGAGGGGCACCCTGGCAGCGCCGGAGGGGACCCAGGCTTCCTGGGCCGGTGCCAGCCCCGCGCCGGGCGCTGGAACTTTGAGCCGAGAAGGTGTGGTGCTTCTCCTGCCCAGGTCTTTCTGCAGGAAGAGGAGAGATTTGTGGGCTGGGGCCTCTGGGGCGGGAGGTGAGCGGGGAGGGGCCGGGCCACAGCAGTCCTTTCCCCACGGGTGGTGCCGGCAGAGTCGAAGCTGTGCCCTTAACTCTTGCAGAGGCTGTGAGGGCCCCAGAGTGCCTCCTGTCTTCCCCAGCTGCTGGCTGGAGGCCTGAGGTGGGGACTGGGCCCCACTCTGGGCCCAAAGGGCACAGGGGGAAACCTCCGCCCTGTTCCCTGGGTGACAGGTGGGATGTGCCCGAGGTGGGGGTGCAGACCGCCTTATAGCCTCCAAGGCTGGCAGCCAGCACTGCCTCGTGGGGGGAGCCTCAGCCCAAACTGTAGCCCCCACATTGGGGAATCCCCCCATCCTAGCAAACACTTCTAAAACACACATTCTTTCAGTCCATAAACATGCTCTGGACTTTGCCTGGGCTCCAGATTTCTGCAGGCATTTGCCCCGCTAGTCTGACTCTGACCTTGGAGCTGTCTGTCCCTCTGTCTGTCCCTCATCCTGGTATCCCGTGTGTCTCCTCATGCCCGCCTCCCCCTTCCCCCACTGTGTACCCCAAAGCTCCCGGGTCCTGTTCTCCCTCTCCAGTCTGGTCCGTTTTGGAGGTGGGGCCTTGGGGAGGCTAGCGCAGGGCAAAGGGCTGATGGGGAGGGCAGGGGAGGGGAGAGGAGACAGGTCAGTGCCTCATCCTCTGCTTGTCGGAGCCCGGACTGGGATTCGAGGCCACAGGCCCCCCCCACGCCTGTGTCCTTGACGCCCCACCCCACCCAGTGCAGTCTGGATTGTCTATTGTTACTTCTTTTACGTCTTGGAAAAAGTTAGCGCGACAAAGGGCCCCTTTGTCACCCACCCCTCTGCCTCCTGGCCTCACCCAGGCCCCCCAACCCTGCCCCCCAAAGCAGCTGTTCTCAGGCCTCTCGCCTGTCTGATTGGCCTCTGGGAGAGTGGGGGGGGGGCCGGAGCGAGCAGTTTCGTGTTGGGGTAAGGGGGGGGCCGGGGCTGGGGGCAGGGAAGAGGCCGGGGGGGGGGCGCCCACTGCCCCTCTGCTGTGGGCTGGTCTCTGGGCAGTCCTGGGGGGTGGGGACACAGTGGTGCTGGCCGGCCAGGCTGGCGGGGGGAGTGGTGTCCAGGCCCTGAGAGGAGCTGGGGGGAGCCCTGCCAAGGGGGTTGCCCCGGCGGCCTGTGGCGTGTTCGCAGGTAAGGGGGGGTGGTAGCATGCAGCTCCCCCCAGGACCAGGTGCTGCTTTTCTTGGTTCCTTGGATTTGGGGGCCGTGTGACTCATGGCTATAAGGTGCTCGGGCCAGGAGCTGTGGGCCCTTTTGAATGCCAGAAGGTTGAGTGCTGGCGTTTGGGGTGAGACCAGGCAGGGTTCTGGGGGGTGGGAGGAGGTAGGGACCCACCCCCTGGGGAGGCCTGCGTGGTGCTCTGTGTCCTTGGCCAAGGCAACTGGGCAGGGGCTTCAGGAGGGTGCGGGTGGCCCTTTGGGGGTCTGGGTGCCGTGACCACAGTCCTCCATCCAGCACATTCGCCCCCAGCTGCCCAGGCATAGGGCACAGACACCCTGCCCCCTCCCAGCCCCCCAGCCCAGTCCTGTTCTGCCTGGGGTGGCGGGCACGGAGCCAGGCGCTGGGGAGGGCTTGGCTAGCGAGGGCCGCCCTGCTGGCCGGGTCGGCCCTCCTGGTTGCCCTCTTGGAGCTGAATCACAGGAGGCGAGGGGGGCAGTAACCCGGACATGGTATTGAGGCCAGACAGACAGCGCATTGATGGGAACAGACCCCCATTGTCATGCTGCTGCCCCCAGACTGGGCACCCAGAGGAAGGGGCTTCCGGGGCCCATAGGGACTCCTCTCCCTGTCTGCAGGCGGGGGCCCCCTTGCTTATCAGGGAGTCCCCATGCTGCTTTGCCCCAGCATTTGCAACTTTTCTGTGCACACCCTGCCCCGCGTCCCCGGCCAGGGGATTGTTTGGGTGGAGGAGGGGCTGTGGCTGCTGTCAGGGAGGGGAGGGGGGAGCGGAAGCTGAGGGGGTGGGGGAGTGGCCGGCTTTGAATATCCTGTTGACCCCAGTTTCCTCTGCCCCCAGCCTGTGTCCTCGTCCCTCCCTCCTCCCGGGCCTTAACCCCTTCCTCCCTGGGGGAGGCGGTTCCAGGCCGCCTCCCACCCCCACGGCCCGGTAGAGGCACCCACCCCCCCCCCCCCCCCCCGTCTGCAGGCACATCCATACGAGTGTGACAGTGTATCCTCTGGTCTCTGGGTGTAAAGGTGGGGTCCTGGGACAGCAGATGGGGGTGCCGATGGCTTCACGGGCAACCTCATTCCCCAGGCCTGGCTGGGACCGTGTTCCTGCCCCCAGGCTGGGAGGCTGGGCGGGGCTCCTGGGAGGGGCCCAGAGGCGAGTGGGCAGGTGTGAAGGGCAGCAGCATGGGTCTCTAACCGCCCCTCCCTCTGCTCTCTCTCTAGCCATCGAGACCCAGAGCAGCAGTTCCGAAGAGATAGTGCCCAGCCCCCCCTCGCCGCCCCCCCTCCCCCGCATCTACAAGCCTTGCTTCGTCTGCCAGGACAAATCCTCCGGCTACCACTATGGGGTCAGCGCCTGTGAGGGCTGCAAGGTGAGTCGCGTCCTCGGGAGACACGGTCCGGATGAGATTGATGGGATGTCCCCACTGCCGCGTCCTGGGAGTCTGCTGGTGGGGGTGGGGGGAGTGTCCCCAGGCTGTTGCCCGTGTGCCTGCGGGGGAGGCGGCAGCAGCCTGGGAGGAGAGGAGGCCTCAGATGAGCAGGGCGCCCCCAGAGCGGAGAGGTCCCCTCCTGCTGGAGCTCCTTTCCCGTCTCCATCCTCCAGCTGGCAGGGCGTGAGCCTGCGCCGCCACCGCTGCCCAGGTTGCCATGGTGAGCTGGCTGTCGGCAGGCTCTTGGCTGGGGACCCAGGAGGCCTGCCCCCGGTGGCCCTGCCTGAACCTCCCCAGGGCCGCCTGGCAGGAGGCGGTTGGGGCAGGCGCCTTGCCTTGACCACCCCCCCCCCCCAACAGACGCCCCGGCCGGGTTTCCCTCGACCACGTCAGGCTCCCTCCATCCGGGTCACAGATGTGCTTGCCACCTTCCTGGTGGCTGCGGGCACGGCCCCCTCTCCTCCTCATCTCCCAGGGCCGGGGCCTCTGTACCTGTTCCTTCCCCAGAGGCTGGGGCTCAGAGCCCGTCCGGTCTGGGGACTTGGGGCTCCAGATGGCCCCTCAGCCTGGGCTGGCTGTTCCCAGGTGTGGGGCCAAGATCAAGGGCAAAGCAGAAGGCCTCTGTGTGTGTGTGTGTGTGTGTGTGTGTGTGTGTGCGCACGCGCCTGCCTGCCCTGACTGGGTGTCCCCGGTCTGTCCCTGGCCTGTCAGCCTGTCTGTGGCCGGCCTGTGCGTGGAGCCCCCCCCCACCGGCCCCAGCCCCCTGGGATGGGTCCAGGCGCACCTCCCTGGCTCGTGGCCGGTGTCCTGCTGCTTGTTCCCGGGAGGGCGTGTGTCCTCACCCCCTCGGCCAGCCCGTGCACGTCCCTGCCCGACCTCTCCCTGCCCAGCCTTCTCGCCCTGCTCCGGGTCCGGGGCTGTGGGCTCCAGAGTTCTGCGTCTCTCCTGTCTCGCCTCTTCTCCTCCTTGTCCTGACACGCTGGCGGCCCTGCCGCCCTTTTCCCAGGGAGGGAGGAGCGGGTGTGTGGGTGCGGGTCGGGGGAAGACCTCTGCTGCCCACTGTGTGGAGGCAGGTGCTGGGGCTCCTTTGGGAGAACCCACGTAGGTGGGCCCTTCTCCCTCCTCACCTAGCCTGCTCAGGTGGGTCATGGCCAGAGGCTCGGGGCAGCAGCGGCCTGGCCTTCCGCACCCCCGGGGCCAAGGCCTCGGGCGGGGGTGGCCCCCGCCGCGGGCGTGGCTGACCTGTCTCCCTCCCCCCCACACTCAGGGCTTCTTCCGCCGCAGCATCCAGAAGAACATGGTGTACACGTGTCACCGGGACAAGAACTGCATCATCAACAAGGTGACCCGCAACCGCTGCCAGTACTGCCGGCTGCAGAAGTGCTTCGAAGTGGGCATGTCCAAGGAGTGTGAGTGCCGGCCGGGCCCCGGGGTGCTCCTGAAGGCCGGGGGGTGGGGTTGGGGTGTGGGTGCAGGGATGTGAGCTTGCATACCTGTGCTGTGGTGTGTGGGCTCGCGGTTAAGGATGGTTTCTGTATAGACAGACAGACGGTCTGTCTGTGCATCTAGCTGGCCGTGTGTCCGCATGCAGACAGCCGTTGTTGTTGGCACGTGGCTGGCTGTGTGTGATGGGCACACACGTGTGCCTGTGTGTCTGCCTCAGGCCTGCTGGCTTCCAGGCCCTGGCTGGCCTTGGGGCCGGCCTCAGAGGCACCCCCAGGTCCGTTTGGGGTGCGTATCATAGGGAAGGGCCTGCACTGGGCGCTGCCAGTTGGGTGTGTTTGTGTGTGTGCATGAGTGTGCACACTCGTGTGTGCACCGGGGGGAGGGGACGGCTGGCACAGGGATGTGAACGCCATTGTCCGGTGGTGACGCCTGGGCTCCCGAGTTGGAGGAGAGAACTGGGGCTTCTCAGATCCCGGAGGGGCGGGGGTTTCCAGTTTGGGCTCAGCTGAGGCTGGATGGAGGAGGAGGGAGGGCTGGACAGGGAGACCCTCTTGTGTTGAATCATGGATGTTGCCGTGGTGACCGGTGATTGATGATGTCAGAGATAAATGACGCTGACAGACGCCTCCTTGTCTGCGTGGCCGTTGCCATGGAGCCCGAGCCTTGGGGGATGGGGTGGGGGAGGGGGCTGCAGGACCCCCTAGCCCTTTGTGGGTTGGGCAGTGGAAGAAGAAAGTGGGAAAGAGCTGTGGGGGACCAGGGAGCCCCAGACAGGAGAGAAGGGGTCCTGCACCGCCCCGCCACCTCCTGCCACAGGAGGCACAGGCTGCCTTGTTAGGGACCCAGGAAGTGGCGGCTCCTCCAGGCTACAGAGTGGGTGACCACTTGGGACCCTCAGGGCCCAGCACTTCCTTCTCCCTCCGCTTCTGCCACCTTCCACTCCCGGAAGGGCCAGGGTGGGGACCCCTCCCCTCCCACCGCTATCACCCCCTTTCGCCGGCTCCCTCCTCCTCTGGTTGCTCTGTGCCCCGGAGCTGAGCAGCTGCCATTTCAATAGAATTAAAGCTTCCGAATGATAAACGTCTTGTCACAGCTGCAATTTTCTCTTCCCAAATTATCCCCCCACTCTCCCTCTCCCTCTCCCCGCTCTCCCTTGCACTTTATTGAATTTGCAGAATCGACATGAGTGATCTCCAAATTATGCCAGGGCCCCCCCACCCGCTGCCCCCTCCTGGGGCCCCTGCCCCCACCCTCTCTTCCTCCAGCCTCGGCAGCCGCCACCACTGGCCCTGTGAGTGATTGTGTGTCTGGGATAATCGGCTAGTAACGACCCCATCGCTTCTTTAAAGCCGAGTGGTGTGTGCGGCTCAGCGCCCCTGGTGATTTGTCAGCTCCCCAAGCTAATGGGCCGAGAGATTCTCCCGTCAGGCCCCCCGTTCTCAGGATGGGGAGCCCGGCACCACCCCTGCCCGAGGAGAGGAGCTGCTTCCTCTTCCCCCGGGGAGGCTGCTGCCAGGAGGGCCGAGGGCCAGGGGCAGCTGCGCGTTCCTCCTGGAAGCAGGGGGTGGGGGGGCAGAGCACGGACGTGGGACACTCTGGCTTCCAGACCGGGACCCCGCCAGGCCCCAGGAGTGGGTGTGTGGGACCACAGGCTCGGGGGCTGGGGTCCTGGGCAGGACCTGGGGTCCGTGTCAGGTGGGCACAGCGCGGTGGGCCACAGGCGGACGCTTTCTGCAGCCAGCGGCGCCGGTGGCGGGAGCTCGGGCTGGGGGCGGGCCGCTGCCTGCGCCTGCCCGCCCCCTGACCACCGGCCTCTGCCCTCCACAGCTGTGAGGAACGACCGGAACAAGAAGAAGAAGGAGGCGCCCAAGCCCGAGTGCTCCGAGAGCTACGCGCTGACGCCCGAGGTCGGGGAGCTCATCGAGAAGGTGCGCAAGGCGCACCAGGAGACCTTCCCGGCCCTCTGCCAGCTGGGCAAATACACTACGGTACGGCCCCCACCCCCGGCCCGGCGGGCGGGCGGGTGGGCGGGCACTCGGGCGCCCCTTCTCCGCCAGGCTGGCTCCTCCTCGCCCCGGCCCCGGCCTGCACGTCCTCCCTTGTCCCTCCTCGCCCTCCTCCCGCCTCCTCTTCTCGAGCCGCTCGCGGGAAGGGGCTGGCGGGGCCAGGCCAGGAGGGGGCGCCGTGAGCAGAGGGCCTCACTCTCCCCGTCCTCTCAGAACAACAGCTCGGAACAGCGTGTCTCCCTGGACATCGACCTCTGGGACAAGTTCAGCGAACTCTCCACCAAGTGCATCATCAAGACCGTGGAGTTCGCCAAGCAGCTGCCGGGCTTCACCACGCTCACCATCGCCGACCAGATCACCCTTCTCAAGGCCGCCTGCCTGGACATCCTGGTGAGGGTCTGCGCCCCGCCCCCCCGCTTGGGCACCGCCCCGCGTCTGCGGAGGACGCCCCGCCGCCCACGTAGCCACCGTCCCAAACACCTGTCTGCACTGGACCTGGCCCGATGCCCCGCCCACCCAGGCGCCCACGTTTCCTCTCTCCGTGTGTCATTTGTCCGCTTGTCTGCCTGTCTGCCTGGCCCCCCGGCCGGCCCCTCAGCACCCGGCTGTTCACTAGGGGACCCACTTACCTGCACACGCACCCGTCCACCCTCACCCCGTCTTTCCGTTAAGCCTTCCATCCAGCCACGCGTCTTCCCGTCTGTTCGGTTGTAATAAAGACTCACCCGGGTCCCTGTGTGGCGAGGCCTCGAGCCGGGTGTCAGGAACAGAGGCGAACACCACGCTGTCGCCTTTCTCAAAAACCTTCCGTTTTTGGGAGCGACATAGGTAAACAGAGGCAGCGGACTGGGATACGTGCTGGCTGGCGATGGCGAGAGCTGACCTCCCTCCCCGCAGACGAGGGGCCACAAGGCGGGGCTCAGGGGAGGGGCCTGGAGGAGAGGGCGTCGCAGGCTGTGGAAGGAGCGTGGGGGGGGCGCCTCGAACCCAGGGCAGGGTTCGAAGGGCTTGCTGCTCTGAGTCCAGCTGGGGCCGGGAGATGGGTGGGGCTGGAGGGTGGGCTGGACTGCAGGCTGGATTGGGGACCGTGGCGGCTGCCAAAGCCTCCATTGGTGAGGACTCTTCTCCCTGGCATCCTGACGGGCTCGGCCCTCGCAGCCACCTGCAGGGCGGGGCGCGTGGGCTGTGACTTCCAGGGAGGGGGGGCGGGGGCAGCGTGTGCTGCTGTCTGCAGGCCGCCGCCCACCCCCACGTGCTGGCTGCAGGAGGCAGGATGAGGGTTTGGCACGGTGGAAGCTGATGCACGCTTACTGAGCTCCTGTTGTGTGCCTCGTCCTGCGGACATGAATCCGCCGTGCTAGTCTAGTTTCTAGAGGATTCTGAATTCTCCGCACGGAGACAGGAGGCTGACCGTGAACCAGACCAATACAGAAGCCGCCTGCCGTGTGTGGCTGTTTAAACTTACGTTAATTAACATTTAACTCCCGCTCAGTCCCTTAGTTGCACCTTAGGGTGGTTTCAGTGTCCAGCGGCCACGCTGGCCGCTGTGCTGGGCGTTGCAGATGCAGAATGTTGTCGTTACTGTGGGCGAGGCGCTGGGCCGCAGCGGGCCGGCTGGCTGCCAGGTGGTCCTGTGGGGGCAGATGCTGGGGCTGGCAGCGCCGGGGGGACAGGCTGAGTCCCTTAACTCGCGCCTCCTCTGCACCCAGATCCTGCGGATCTGCACGAGGTACACGCCCGAGCAGGACACGATGACCTTCTCGGACGGGCTGACCCTGAACCGGACCCAGATGCACAATGCTGGCTTCGGCCCCCTCACGGACCTGGTCTTCGCCTTCGCCAACCAGCTGCTGCCCCTGGAGATGGACGACGCTGAGACCGGGCTGCTCAGCGCCATCTGCCTCATCTGTGGAGGTGGGCGGGCTGGTGCCGGGTCCCGGGCCAGGCCCCGGGTGGTGGTGGTGGCAGTGGAGCCCCCTCACCGGGATGTCCGAGGGTCACCAGATCAGAAAAGGACCTTGGCCCCTGTCAGGTCCTGCTTAGAGGGGGAAACTGAGTCCCAGAGGGCAGGAGCCCGCCTGTGACCACACAACAAGGTTGTGGCAGGGGGGACCTGAACTCTCGGTCCCCACCTGGTTGGACCACCCAAGTTCAAGTCCTGGCCAGCTTTGACCTTAAGTGAGTTGCCAAACTTCTCTGAGCCCCCAATTCCGTAAAACAAGACAGTAACGGTCCCCCCTCGTAAAGTCGATGGGCCGATGGAGGTGGTCGTTAATAAAGGTGCGGAGCCCAGAGTAGGGCCCAGTGAGTGTTGGCCGCTGCTGCCATGTTCGTGTTTCGAGTTCTGCAGCGTCCTGCCAGTGTCCGTAATGGGGGGCGTGGGAGACCTGCCCGGGCATCTTCCATCTGCTTGAGGTTGGCACTGCTTGTGTTCAGGGGTCCCAGCCCCGTGAACTGGGCGGTGAGGGCTGGCTTTGGGCAGTCTGCATCCTAAAGCACACAGACACTCTCCACTGCCCTGTGTGGGGAGGCCCAGCTTGTGGCCTGGGCAGGTGCGCCCCCCTGTGGCCAAGGCTGGGAGTGCAGCGATGGTCCTAGCTTCACCAGAGCACCTGCTCAGAGGCACCTCTGCTTCCCCAGACCGGCAGGACCTGGAGCAACCAGACAGGGTGGACATGCTGCAGGAGCCGCTGCTGGAGGCGCTGAAGGTCTATGTGCGGAAACGGAGGCCCAGCCGCCCCCACATGTTCCCCAAGATGCTGATGAAGATCACGGACCTGCGAAGCATCAGTGCTAAGGGTGAGGCTCCCACACCTGGAGGGAGGCCGGCCCCGTGTCCCTGCCGGGGCTGGGTCCCAGCGGCTGGCCCAGGACCCAGGCCGGGTCCCTCACATCTGAGCCAACATCTTGTGTCTTTGTGCCCAGGATGACACCCGACTTGTCAGGACCCAAGCTGTCCCTATATGTGTCTAGGCCAAGGTCCCCCGAGACCCCACCATGCCCAGGCGACCCGTCTGTGAGCGCCTCTTGTCCCCTGCGCATGGTGGTTACGGGCATAGCCCTGGGACCAGACGGTGTAAGTGTGTGTCCGTGAGCAGCTCACTCAGCAGCTCTGAACCCTTCTGAGCGGTGAGGAGGGTGCTGGTGTTTGTAGCAGGGGAAGCCGTGACACACAGCACTTAGGAAGGACCCCGTGTCAGACCAGGTGGTGTGACCCCAGAGCCCGTGTTCACAACCGCCTTCCCACTGCCCCTTGGACTTGGGGACTTAAGAGAGCTGCTCACAACCGTGGCTGGGTGACTCAGTCGGTTGGAGATCAGTCCAGTACCCCAAGGTTGTAGGTTCGATCCCCAGTCAGGGCACATACATGCAAGAATGGACCAGTGAATGCATCAATAAGTGGAACAATAAGGCAATCTCTCTCTCAGTTTAAGACAGAGGGAGATACTGTGTCAAAGAGGTCAAAGAGCCAAGCCCCCAGTGCAGTGTGTGGCAGGTGCTGATCACCCACCGGCTGTGCCCGCCCTCCTGGCCACGCTCGCCTGCAGGGCTTGCAGGGCCGGGGGTGGGCGTGCATGCTGACCTCTGCCCCTCCTCTCCTGCAGGGGCTGAGCGGGTGATCACGCTGAAGATGGAGATCCCGGGCTCCATGCCACCTCTCATCCAGGAGATGCTGGAGAACTCAGAGGGCCTGGACACGCTGGGCGGACAGCCCGGGGGTGGCGGGCGGGAGGGGGGTGGCCTGGCCCCCCCGCCCCGCAGCTGCAGCCCCAGCCTCAGCCCCAGCTCGAACAGAAGCAGCCCGGCCACCCACTCCCCGTGACCGCCTGCGCCCCACAGACGTAGCCCTTGCTCCTCGCCCGGCTTTTCTCTGCCTTTCTACCAACCACGCGACCCCAGCCAGCCCTGCCCCCTCCCTGTCCTCCTCAGGACAGGAGGGAGGAGGTGGCCACTCATTGGACAGAGGCCCGGTGCTACGGACTGTTACTCTGTGGCCTGGGCTGACATCAGGGGCAAGGTCACGAACTGAGTGAGGACCCCTGGTCTTGGGTCTCAGGATGGGGCCTGGGGGCCTTGTGTTCATCGAGACACCTCTCTGCCCGCCTCGCCGCATCTTCATCACCAGCAAACGCCAGGACCTGGCTCCCCCATCCCCGGAACGCGCAAGCCATTGCCTCCTGGTTGGGGAGCCCCCCTTGCCTCAGTTGGTGACGGAGGGGGTGGGCCGGGGGTGGGGGCTCCCCCTGTACATACCTGCCATACCAACCCCCCGGGTATTCTCGCTGGTTTTGTTTTTATTTTAATTTTTTTTTTTTGGTTTTGATTTTTTAAATAAGAATTTTCATTTTAAGCACATTTATACTGAAGGAATCTGTGCTGTGTATTTGGGGGAGCTGGATCCAGAGCTGGGGGGGGTGGGCCCTGGGGGAGGGCAGTGGCTCCAAGGGGCCCCCACTCTCTCCGCGTCCCTGTGTCCCCCGGCCTTCTCCCTGGCCTTTCTCTCCTGTTTCCTCTTTAAAACTGTGAAGTACTAACTTTCCGAGGCCTGCCCTCCCCTCCTTTGTGTGGGGGCAGGCAGCCAGCCCCCTTCTCCTTCTGCCTAACCACTGGTTCCGGGCAACTCCGGCAGCCCCCGCAGGAGGGCGCCCTCCACCGGAGGTGGGCCGGGGCCAAGCAAGGGGCCCTCAGTACACATTGAGCGTTTCCCTGCCCCGTGTGCCTGGCTGAGCCGCCCACTCCGCATCGGGGCCCACGTGACCTAAGCCCTCCAGCCCCCACTTCGAAGGGGCAGGCCTAGGGGCCTGAGCTGTCCCTGCCCCCAGCCTCACAGCCACCAGCACCACCCACAGGACCCCCGGACACCCCCAGGCCGACAGACAAGCTTGGCCCCAGCTCCTCCATTTCCCTGGCCTGCTCCCAACCCCCACCCCACACCCGTGCCCCTCCTTGCCCCGCAGGACGGGCCTAAGGGGGCGGTTCCCTCCCCTGCACCCCTGGGCTGGGGGAGCCGGCTCTGCCCTGCCCCCTGTGCCCCAGGGTTGGGGTCTCATCCCCCAGAGCCCGCTGGTGCACCTGTTACTGTTGGACTTTCCACTGAGATCTACTGGATAAAAAATTAAAATTATATTTATTCTACACACGCCTCAGCTGTGCTGCCTCGCCGCCTTCTCGCAGTGTCTGGGCAAGGGGCTGGGGCCGAGGGGTTGCGCAGAGCACCGTGGCCCGCCCTGTGCTGTGGTCCGGAGACCCCATGGCAGGAGACAGGCCTGCTTTCGGGGAGCCCCACTCTGGAGGGGGTGGAGGGAGAGGGAGAGAACCCCCTGCCTTCAGAGACTCCACAGTGGGAGGGAAGGTACAGCCCCAGCTCCCCAGGAGTCCCAGTGTGGGAGAAGCAGCCGGCCCTGCCCTCGGAGGGTTCCTAGCCCTTGGGAACCTGGAGGTGGGGTCTGGGGGTCATTTGATAGTAGAGTTCTATTTGGGGGGTGAACACAGACTTGATCTTCATGGCACAGTGGTGGTTGGCCCGGGGTCCTGGATCCCACGCACATGGCGACCTTATAAGAACACAGGGTTGGGGCACAAGCCGAGGCCAGTCCCCCATCCCTCTGCCCTCCTCTTCCCGCCCCGAAGGTCTGTGAGCAGGAAGCCCAGAGCACAGCTTGCAGGGGAGCCTGGGTGCTCCTGGTTAGGAGGGTGGAGTGCGGCAGCCTTCGAGGGTCCTCAGAGACCCAAAGTGTCCACCCCTCACACTGCACCTCAAGGCTCAGAGAGGGCAGTGCCCTTGTCCAGGGCCACACAGCACATTAGTAGCAGATGGAAAACCAGTACTCAGGGCTCCCACCTCTCAGCCAGGCTTCTCTCCTGGGTCGCTGAAGCCCTAGAAGAAGCGTCAGATACCGCAGTATTGGGGCGTCTGGGGAGGTGGCGGCGGAGGCTGCGCTGGGAAGAGTTAGCAGCGGCGCTGCGCGGGAAAGGGTGTCCTCCGCGGCGGTCCGCCCGCCGTTTCTACAACCACCGCCAGGTGGCGCCAATTCCTCGCTTATCTCACCCTCCGGCCCTGGCTGACAGCGGCTCTCTTCCCTTAACAAACATTTTCTCACACTTTCTTTGTGAACCCGAAATGAAAGGTAGCACAGATACGTATACCATATGCTATCGCACTGTATCGTAGAGGAGAAACGAAGGGTAAGTGCTATGAATTTCAATATGTAAATACCTGGGCACAGCCACAAGGCAGATACGACGTCGCCCCGCGTTTGCTTCTGCTTTTAATGAGCTCGTTTGGATTTAAAGAAGTCAGGGGGTCAGAAGCTATTGTGCACGTGAAGCGCAAGGAAGTTGAAGAGTATGGTTGGATGTTGAAACAAAAACTAACAGTGCGTAGCAAAACCGTGCAAAACAAAAGACCCCCAAATGAACCCTGAATGGTTTACATGTGAAACAGGCTTTCACCACGTAAAGGTGCAGCGGGACATTCTGAAGTCGCGCAGGACGATTCTTTAGTGTGGGAGGACCTTGTGGCAGTCTTAGTCCCCGCTCGCCAGATGCCAGCAGGCCCCCCTCGTGTGGGTAGTGGTCCATACATTTTACAAAGTGCTCCCCTCGGGGCAATACCTTGGCCGTGGGGACCCTCCAGGGCTTGACGAGATCTCCCACCGCGGTACGCAGCTCACGGCTGTAGAGCCGAGTTTCTGAACCGCAGCACAGTCTGGGCCCAGGAATTCTTCCCGTGCATTACAGGGCGTTCAGCAACGTCCCTGGCCTTTGCCCACTAGAAGCTAGTTGCGCCTCCCACCCAGCCGTGACTGCCAATATGTCCGCAGGCTTTGTCGAGTGCCCCCCAGTGGAGACGCGCTGGGGTGCCGTCTGACATCATCCAGGGCTGACGTGTGCTTTGCGTGGCGCCAGGCCCCGTCCTCCATGCGGAGACTGACCCATGGGTGGTGACTGGGATACATCTGGGGTAGGGCAGTGATGGGGTCTTGCTTGGGCAAACAGGATCTCAAGGAAGGGGAATTGAACCAGGCCTGGGAGAAGGCTAGGAAGGCTTCCTGGAAGAGGTGCCCCCTCCCAGCTGAAGCTCTAAGGGGAAGAATTAGCTAGGTAGGATGCAGAAGTGATACACAGCTTCACATAATCGAAAACTGTCTCCAGCTCTGTATTCTGACCGTTTTCAGGTTTTGGTTGGAATGGTGGAGGAGGTGAGGCTGTACAGGTTGGGACAGGTCAGATCAGGCCAGCTGAGGAGCTGGACTTGATGCTGAGGTGGTGGGAGCGAAGGCTGGGAGTGAAGGGAAGGGTTCAGACTGGCACTGCGGGGCAGGAGCGGAGGCAGTGGGAGTGCCCTGGGCCGCTGGTGACCAGGCTGACCCAGGGCAGCCTCTGAGGGTTGCACAAGGGCGGTCAAGGGGAGGCAATGCTGACATGGTAATGGGTGGACCCAGTGGCTGATGGGATGGGGAAGGCGGGCAGAGGATGGGCCGAGGCAACAGCGGGCATAGGTGGTGGCACCGGTGGGTGGAGACACTAGAAACTGAGAGGAGAACTAGGAAAGTTGAGGTTATTGCGCGCCTGCCTGTGAACCAAAGGGTCGCTGGTTCAATTCCCAGTCAGGGCATGTGCCTGGGTTGCGGGCCAGGTCCCCAATAGGGGGCGCGCCAGAGGCAACCACACATTTAATGTTTCTCTCCCTCTCTTTCTCCCTTCCCCTCTCTAAAAGAATAAAATCTTTTTTAAAAAAGAAAGTTGTGGTTGCATTTGGGGTGCTAGTGACCCCCACCTTCCCTGTGCCTCACCCCACTCCACCCCAGCCACACTGGCATCCCTGCTGGCCTCAGACACCCCCAGAGTACTCCTGAGCCTCAGGGCCTTTGCACTGGCCACTCCCTCCAACTGGAATGCTCTTCCTGGCCACAACTTCCTGGCCAGCCCCTTGCTACCTGCTGTTACGTGTCACTGATCAAGGATGTCACTCCCTCTCCCCTTACCTTGGCCTGGGGGCACATCCTGTGTTTATCATCTGCCTTCCCCACCAGAATGTAAGCTCTGCGAAGGCAGGTTTCGTTTGCCATAGTAGACCATCACCTGGGTCCGCTCCGCTCCGCACGGTGGCGGCACCCACATGTGGCACCTGAGTCTTCGCCTGTGGCCGGTCCGGCCTGAGCCAAGTGCGAAATCCACACAGGGTCCCCAAGACAGCGCAAAGAATCTAAACTATCTCCTTGGTACTTTTTATACGGATGATGTGCCGGCATCTTTGGTTGTATTGGCTTACAGAAAATTTATTGCTAAATTAATTCCACCTGTTTCCTTCTACTTCTTTTAAGATTTTTTAAATTTTTATTTTTAGAGAGAAGGGGAGGGAAGGAGAAAGAAAGGGAGAGAAACATCAATGTGTGGTTGCTTCCCCACTAGGAACCTAGCCTGCAACCCTGGCACCTGCGGGTGTGGATGGCGCTCACGCGCCCTGCAGACAGACCAGGGTGGCGGGCCCCTGCCCTGCCCCCCTCCCTGCGTGGGTGCCCTCGTGGGCAGAGACGGTCCCTCCCTGGGATGCCCCTGCAGGTCGGGAGCTCACGGAGCTCACACAGGACACACGCATGCCCACACAGGGTGTGTGCTGGGATGCTGGTGTCACAGTTGTTTCTGTCCTCGGTGAGACAACTTTCCCTCCGCTCTCACCGACCACTGTCAGCCTCCTGCCCTGTACCTCCTCCCCCGCCCGCCTCCTTCCTTCCCACCTGGGACGCGGCATCCCCACCGGCCTCGGTTCATTCGGTGCCCCGGACGCTGGGCGCACGAGGGACGTGCGAAGGAGAGCTGCCCCGGGGACCTGCCAGCGCGTGCCTTCTGCCCAGGCAGCGTCCTGGGAGCAAATCCAGCACAAGCCACTGCCTGCTTGCTTCTGCGGTGCGGGCCGCGGTGGCGGGGTTGGGGCTCTGACCTCACCCTCGGTCCGAGGCAGCTCTAGATGGCCAGGTCCTGGCGGACCGTGGCCAGTGACACCTTGCTGCGGCCGCTGCCACCCTCGCTGTCGCCGGCCGGTGCCCGGTGCGCATAGGCGGGCGGGGCGTAGGGGTCGGGCCCGGGCCGCCTGGAGGGCAGGGCTGGCGGCGGCGGCGGCGGCGGCGGGAGCAGCTTCTGGGCCTCCTCGTGCGCCCGGTTGCAGCGGTTGTCGCGCTCGGCCGCTGGGCGCGGGCGGCCCTTCCAGAGCAGGTGGCTCAGCTCGGCCACGCTGAGCAGGGCCGAGAGCAGCCCCACGGCGAAGTAGAAGACCACGAAGACGGTCTTCTCGGTGGGCCGGCTCACGAAGCAGTCCACGGTGTGCGGGCAGGGCGGGCCGCTGCACTCGAAGTGCGGGGCCACGCGGAAGCCGTAGAGCAGCGTCTGGCCGGCCAGGAAGGCCAGCTCGGCCAGCAGGCGCAGCGCCACGCTGAGCAGGTAGCAGCGGCGCGCGCGACGGGCGCGCAGGGCGCAGGGCGGGCACGGGCCCTCCGGGAGGCCCCGCGCGCACGGCGTCCCCTTCTCCGCGGCCGCGCCTCCCGGCTCCTTGCTGGCCTGGTGCATGGAGTAGATGACGAAGAGCACCGGCGGCGCCGAGAGCAGCAGGATGTGGAAGAGCCAGAAGCGGTAGTGGGAGACCGGGAAGGCGCGGTCGTAGCAGGTCTGGCGACAGCCCGGCTGCAGCGTGTTGCACACGAACTCCTCCTGCTCGTCCTCGAACACCGCGCCGCCCACGGTGGCCAGCACCAGGATGCGGAAGATCAGCATGACCACCAGCCACAGGCGGCCCACCAGCGGCGACTGCAGCTGCACCGCGTCGAGCAGCGAGCCGAGGAATGCCCACTCCCCCATGACGCTGGGGACGAAGGGTGTGGGTCAGAGGCCGCAGTCGGCGCCCCCACCCGTCCACGCCCACCGGGATGGGGTCCGTTAGACCTCCTCTAACTTCAGGGTGAGTCCGGGGTCAGGGTGGCAGGCAGTTTGTGGGAAGAAGGGAGTTAGCAAGGGGGCAGAGGGGTTAGGTGCTTCTCCACTATGGGTGTCTGTCTCCCTGGGCCTGATGGGTGCTGGGGAGGAGCCACACCCTGGTGCTTTAGCCTGACACCCATGGGTGGCTTTGTTGGACCCTGTGCTCCTCCAGAGCCCAGCTCCCTCGGAGGGGAGCCTGGAGGTCAGCCGGGCCGCCCCTGACGGCCTTTGGAGAAGCAGAAGCTGTCTGCACCCTACGTGCTGTTCTCCACGGGGGAGAATGGTGTCTCCAGACCCAGTCTGGTGCACCTGGGACAGGCGGGCGCCCAGCCGACCCAGCGGGACGCCACCTCTTTCTCTCTCTGCCCTTTTTGCTGCAGCGAGTTTCTCTCTGAGTTGTGGGGCGACACAAAAGTAGCCCCACTTCTGTGACTCTGTCGGGACCCTTTGCCCTGGGTGTCCCCTGCCATCCGACCCCAGCAAGGCAAGAATGCGGCCCAGTCCTCTCCCCTCTCCTCCCGGCGCCCCACGACTTCCAGTCGCCCACATCTCCCGAGAGCCTCCCCCGCACACCCACACGGGCCCCGCGGGCTCCCGGGGCCCCCAGACCCGCGGTCGGCCCCACTCACCCGTGGCCGGAGCTGAGGTGCTAGACTTGAGAGAGGGATCTTGGGAGATGGCTGGGACCTGCTCCTCCTGGTCCCTCTTTCATTTTCCCTTTCAGATTTGGCCGGGATGGGTGACAGGACAGGATGGCCGAGAGGGGCCAGCTCTCCCCCCGCTCTTAAAGGGACAGAGTGACCCTGTTGGCTGGGTCTTCCCTTGGGAACAGACACAGGGCCACGCCCCTTACCGGGCTCTGCCGCCCCTCCCTCTTCCTCCCTCCCCCCCATCCCATCCCCATCCCCATCCCACAGCTGGGTCTCCATCCGGAAATGGGGGAGGGGGCTAACCAGAGCTGCACCCTTTATTGAGAGAACCCCATGGAAGCCAGTCCCCCCAGTGGGCTCCCCCAGACCGGAGGGCCTAGGTCCTCGGTCAGCGGACTGTCCGTCCCCTTGGAAGGCCACCTGCAGGGCCGGAGGCAGGTTCGGTGCCGGTGCCGGGGGCACTGGTGTCCTGAGAGGCAGCCAGCACCTGGTAGCTGGGCTTCCACCTCTGCTGCTGACCTTGGACGAGTCCCTGGGCCCTTCTGGGACAGTCTGCTGTCACCTGAGCTTGTCACCTGAGGTGGCCGGGCCAGCCAACCCCGTTTCCTTTCAGTCCTCCGTCTCGGTGGGGAGATCCCCACGGAGCTACAGAGACCCACAGCAAACACGTGCCCCCAAAACTCCACGTCGAGAAAACATCCAGGTGTTGAGAGTGGCTGGCTTTGGTGGTTAAATGAAAGCTTCTACTTCCTTCCTGCTTCCCGTAATTTCCAGACTTACTACAATGAGCGTGTTATTTATAGCGTGGGGAATGGAGGAAAGGCCTGTTTCTCCCACCAGGCTCTGAACTGGATCCCCTCCCACGGCTCTGGGTGGCAGGAGAAGCTGTCCCTTGGAATGGCCCGTGGTGACCTGAGCAGCCGGGGGGGGACACTGTGCCTTTCTAGGGGTTGGCTCAACCGGCCGCCGTCCCCTTCCCTCGCGGATGCAGCGGCTCGGGGCCAGGCCCTGTCGCACCAGCGCAGAGCGCATCACACCAGTGAGAGGACTTGGGGGTGGGGGGCAGCTGGGCCCCAGGGGCTCACTCGCCCGCAGTCACGCAGCCCGTGAAGAGCAGGTCCCAGCCCCACCCCTGACCCTGCGGTTCGTACTCTTCAGCCCATCATGGAGCTGTCCTCCGTCCAGCCTGGCTGGCCTTCCCAGGTGGCGTCCAGGGCCCGGCAGTCCCTGGGGCGTGGGCCGGGCTGACGGGCGTAGGTACTGGAGGTGGGCCATGCCCACCCCTTCCTGAGTGGGGAGGGTGCCAGGACTCAGTTGCTCAGGGTCGTTTCCTCTCTGCTTCAGCCACGGGGGCCTGGGTAGTTTTCCGTGTTGATCGGGGCCCGGCCTGGTGTCAGGAAGGGTGGGAGAGGTGCCCGGCATCCCCACTGGCTCGGGGGCCCGGCCCAGCCTGGAAAACCCCCCGGTCCACTCTTTGCACCCTCGTGCAGGGTTCCCTTGGGGGTGGGCTTGGGTGGGCAGACACGGCCCTGGATGGAGTCCAATGGAAACCACATGTGGGGGCCCCACATCCCCAAAACAGGAAGGGGGTGGGGGCACCACAGACCTCCTCAGCCCCGACCTCCTCCTGTGTCGGGCAAAGCTGCTCTCTGACCTCTGACCTCCCTCCACAGCCATGGGGGCTCAGGGCCACACCTCCCCTCCCCTGACTATCCAGGGGTGGTCCCTGCCCTGTCCCGTGTTCCCTGCTGGGTCGGGCCACTGGCTCAGCCTGGAAAAACCCCAGCAGAGCTGTCTGCCTGCAGGGGGAGGGAGGTGGCAGAGGTGGTGGGCTAGGGCGGGGCAGGGGGTGGAGAGCCCGTGGCCCCCCTGCAGCGTCCCCGGCCCCTGATGCCACGGGGCCAGACACAGGAGACGCTGCAATCTCGGGGGCCCGTCCTCCTCCCCAGATAGCGCCGTCCAGCCTGGGGGGAGGTGTCGCTGATGCTAAGCAGGGCTGGCGGCACGTGGCTCCATTCCTGGCCGCACTTGAGGTCCGGGGCTGGGCTGGGGGGGCGCGTCCTGCCCGGCCGCACAGTCAGTCTCTGTCCCAGACACCTCGCCCCACCCCCTCTGGCTGGCGTGGAGCCCCTTCCCGCGTCCGTCACACACGGACGGACACACAGGTGAGCACGTCATTGTCTGCACCCACTAAGTGACATCATGGGACACAACTGTTTTTCCTGTGTCCCTCTAACGTGTTCAGGTCTTTATAGAAATGATGCCTTTTAGTGCGGCATCCACTGGCCACCCTAACTGGAATTTAACCTCCTGCTTCCTATCCCTTTTCTCAGCTTTAGTTTCTTTGCACTGTTCGCTACATAACATACTTTTCTTATTTATCCTGCGTAGCATCCATCTCTCCCATTAGCACGTCAGCTCCGAGACGGCAGGGTTTTTTGGTGCTTTATTCCCCGTCCTGCCTCCAGCACCTAGAACAGTTCCCGGCATGCAGTAGATGCTCAATAAATATCTGTCAGGTGGATGAATGGATGAAGTGGGGTGGGTGCCGACCTCCTTTGCCTCAAGAGGAGGAGAACGCCAGTGGGCCCCATGCCTCAGCTGCGTATTCTGGCGTCCTCTAGAGCTTGTGACCCCTGAAGTGATTCCCCTGCCCCCAGCTCAGCCTGCACGTGAGAGGTGAGGGCAAGAGTGGCGGCGGGCATGGTAGATTCTTCTTGGTGTCTTCTGGTCCTCTCTAGCCCCCCCACCCCCCGACCTGGCTGCACAGTTCCTGACCTTCAAAGGCTTCCCCAAGCCTGCAGACCCTCCAGACCTGACCCTTTTGCTCACAGGTTGCCCTTGTGCCTCTCACTCCGCCCTTGGCCCTCAGCCTTAACTGGGAACGGCTCGGCAGCCGGGTCTTCCTTTGCTCCTTGGCTCCGTTTAAGACCAGGTTTAGCTGTGACAGCAAACATACTAAACACAGAAGCAAGGATGTGTCTTGTTTGTAAAATCCCAGGAAGCTACTCCGCGCCCGACCTTCTTGCATACCATTGGCCGGGATGACCTTCCACAAGGAAGGCTGGGAAATGTAGTCTTTCTTCTAGGCGGCCTTGCACCCCAGAAAGGAGAATTTTTTAGCCTTGGTTGTCACACATCTGTGTCTGGCATTGGCCCTCCACGCTGACTTGGGGCATCAGAGACACGCGGTTCCCCCGGAAGGCAGCCCCCGCCAGCCCCTCCCGTGCAGCCCCTCCCCTCCCCCACCCCCCGGGAAGAAGGGAACCTTTGCCATCTTGCCTGCCATCTTGTCCCCAGGTCCTTCCACATCCCTGCCCCTTTGGGCCTTCCTCCATGTGTCTCTGTCCAGTCCCATTCCTTCTTCCTTGTTCTTGAGCAGAGGAGCCATTACCACCTGCCAGCTGGGGGCCCCCACCAGGTCTCTTCCCCATGCCCCCCATTTCTAGGTCGTACATGGAGCAACTTCGCTTAAAAAGGACAATGACTGGGCCTGCTGGTGGCTGGGACCTGTGGGTGGCCCCGTCTGAGTGGCCGAGGGGCCTGGGAGCCCCTCTCTCCCTTTCCCTGAAGCCCAGAGTGAACCGACAGATGAGAGCAACTGCTGGGAGAGCCGGGTGGGCGAAGGGGAAGGATCTGAGTTACAAAGAGGCGTCTGTCACAGTCCCTTTCCCCTCCTGCATGGCCGCTGTTTGTGAGCACCAGCTGGTACAAGCAACCACAGTCACTTCCTGCAGCCCTGGGTCCTCAGCCGTCTCGCTGTCACCCCGGGGACGGAAGTGGGATCAGGTGAACTCAAGATCAGTGGAAGGGCACACCAAAGTAACTCCCCCCGGAAGCAATACTCTCGGGGCCTAGGGACTGCCCTGGCCCGGGCCCCGGAAGGTCACGGAGAGTTACTAGAGGCAGAAGCCAAAGACACCTAGGGACTGACTGGGCTTCCTTTCTTCTGGCCAAAATAACGTGTGCGTCTTTTCACGCTCCTCAGGTGTATCGGGCCACCTGGAGGCCCATGGAGATGCTGTCTTACCAAAAGAAACAAATCTGACTCCGGGAAGTACCGAGGACAAAGGTAAGGGGGCGTGTAAAACGACACAACTGCTTTGAAGAAGGTTGGCAGTTTCTGAGAAAGGTCATCGTATACTTAACAACCCAACAATTCCATGTTGAGGTATTCACCCACGAGAAATGAGAAAATATGTCTGTTGAAAATGCATGCTAATGTTCCTGACAGCTTTATCTGTAACAGGCCCACACTGGAAACAACCCAATGTCTGTCAACAGGTGAAAAGATAAACAATCCATACAATGGAATTAAAAGAAGAGGGAACTGTTGATACAGGCAACATGGGTGAACTTCAAAAACATAATGCCAAATGGAACAAGCCAGATATAAAAACACACATACTGTGTGATTCCATTTATAGGAAGTTTTGGAATAGGTAAAACGAACCTAAAATGGTAGGCATCAGATCCGTGTTTGTCTGGGGCCCGGGGTTAAAGAGACACGTGAGAACTTTTGGAGGTGATGGAAATACATCGTCATGGTGATGCTGCAGGAATATACATTTGCCAGAAGTCATCAGTCTGTGCACTTCCTTCTGAGGAGGTGGTGAGCGTAAGACTTTCTTTGGCATCCTTACCGGTTTCTCTCTCTCCACCTCTCTGGGCAAGACTCTGTCCTCCTCTTCCTTCCCCGTCTTTGTTAGATAGGACAAGAATCTCAAGGTGTGGGCTGTTCCTACTAAATGTTATTCTTGCTAAACGTTAAAATGTAGCACAGTCTTTTGAAGACCAGCTGTAAACAAGACCTCAACCAGTAAGTGTAGGCAACTGCAAAGAAGTCCACGGGTAACTGACTGAGTAAATAGTGTATAGTTTTCAAGAACAACTTGACACCTGCTCCAGAGACTTTGCTATCAGGATTTATATCTTCCAGCCTTGCGCAAATCAGCTGGTGGGCTGCCCTTTAAATCAGCTATGAATATTTTTTTTGTATCCGGGGGTTGTATAAACAGAAAAGTTAAGACTGCAAGGCTCTTCAGCAGATGCTGTAATGGAAGTGGTCATCTCTTTGGTCATGCCAACAGCGCCCCACTTGATGCGGTTGAGGGACATCGTGAAGGTGATTCTGGGTTGAATGCTAGCCACAGCTCAGCCGCTTTGCACCCTGCTCACCCAGGTAAATCGTCACTGCTGCCAACACCTATCAGTAGGTCGGGTGGTGGCTGGATGAAAGCTTTCTGGTGGTCCCCAGAAGTGAAATTGTGCCCACTAATCTTTTAGCATCTTAATTCCTCACAGTTGAAGAGAGGCAAAACTCAACAATCCTCTGCATGTTATTTTCTATTAAATATTTTTGACATCGTTGCAACATGTCCACATGTAGGAAGTGTGCTGTTTCATAAAACTCTCCTACAGGGCTGCCATTTATTGCCAGGTTACTGTGTGTGCACGTTACTCTGACGTATAAGGCAGTGCGGTGACGCCAAGGTTCCCTGGGTGTGAGTGTATCTACTGTCACCAGTTCCCTCAGGAGCATGGCCTGGAATAAGAACTGCACATCGCCGAGAACCACCTCATGACAAGGGAGTTTGACGCCTT